CCAAGCAACAGAAACTGGGAAACACAGCAGCTCAGAAGCTGGTTCCAACACCTGGCTAGGTGACCAGGTGTGACACTCACAGGACCGCTGCTAGAACTTGGAAAGGATGCTGTCTCCCCCACACACACACAGATGTCCTGCGGGGGGTAGGTCACCCTTCTTCAGGCACTGGAGACGATACACTGAGGCTGAGAGAGTGCGGCATGGCCACAGAACCCAAGGAACTCACGAGGGGCCGTTGTGGCGCAGTGGTAGAGCATCTGCTTTGATCTCTCGTGGCATCTCCAGTTAAAAAGGACCGGGCAGTAGGTGAAGTGAAAGACCTCAGCCCGAGACCCTGGAGAGATGCCGCCAGTCTGAGTGGACAACGCTGACCTCGATGGACAGAGGGTTTGACTCAGTACAAGGCAGCTTCATGGGTGTTCAGGAGCACAGAGAGGACCTTGACGCCCCCTGCGCCACAGCACGAGGAACCCAGGGCCAGGGATGTGGGGTGCAATGCCCAAGCAGCTGTGGGGCTTGGGCAGCTTTGCCAGTGCCCGGGACAGAGAAAGGCCCCCCTCTGCCAAGCCACCAATAATATCAGGCCTACCAGTCCAAGGGGCCCCCCTTTTGAAGTTTCCCCTTCTGCTTGGCAAGCGAGGAGGCTGATTCTTGAGAAGCCAGAGACGCCCAGACCCCTGGCTTGAGAAGCGGAACAGCAGCCTTTGCATTATCCCCCCCCCCTTTCGCCACAGGTTGAACCCTTCCAATTCAGAGCCCCGCTCAGCCTCTGGAAAGCAGAGAGAGAGAGAGAGAGAGAGAGAGAGAGCAGCAGGCTTCTCTCCTTCAGCCTCAGCAACCTCACCCAGCGACTGAGAAGATAAAAAGGGGGGAGCAAAAAGATTCTCGTCCACTGATGAAAGCCACAAAAAAGATCAGTTCCCTCTTCTAAAGGGGAGGGTGACTGAACCCTATGAACACCCCCGCCCCCAGCGCAAAGCAAAGGGGCAAACAACATGTGACACCGGATGGCTCATTTAGCCCTGAGAAGCAGCTGTGCAGGGTAGTGGTGATGGATCAGGGCCACTGCCATGAAGCATGGGATTCACTTTCGATGGGCACCTTCTTCCCCCAGCTAAAAATGCGCCCCTAGAGGCTTATTCCCCCCCACACACAGAGAGAAAAAGGACAGGTACTAAGATTGCGTCTTTTTCCTTATCGAGTATTTTTGATCAGGAAAACAGCACTGGCAGTTCCATCCCCTACAGTTCCAGCCCCAATCTATATCATTCCCCCTCCCCAACAAGCAATGACGCACCAGGGATTCTGCACACAGCCCTGCAATGCTGGCTACCAAAGGCTGCCCATTGCAGGACACCCACGGCCTTCGGGCACCAGATACGTTTTTGTCCAGACTGGGACCAGGATTTGCAAAAAGACTCTGCTGCTCGCCGAATTCAGCTAGAGCGAAGGTCAAGATCTCCTGGGGCAATCCTCGTTTTGACAAGGAAGGTGCTCTCCAAAGAGTCCACCTGCTTATTATTATTATTGTTATTCACGCAAACAACCTGAGGCAGACAAGGCGACGGATGCAGAAAGAAAATTCTGGGCGTGCCAAACACTCTGTCTAAGAGGAGAGAGACTTGCTTGAGAAACCCCACTTGAAACCTGTTGCTGCTTCACTGTGTCAGTAAGCAAATGCGCCTGCATTTATTTGGGTGTTGTTTTTTAAAAAATCCACCACAAGGGTGCAAAGCCGCATGCAATAAAATTAAAACAAACATGACAATGGGATAAAAGCTGCCAGAGGCAATAAGAACCGACAAAGTAATCCACTGTCCAAAATCGAACAGCAACAAAACGTCCATAAAGCGGCAGAGATCAGCTAGTAAAGAAGTCTGAGTGTGATTGGGGTGTGTGTGTTTCCTTAAGACGGCCAGGCACATCTTTGCAGTCAGTGTAGGCAAGCAGGCACCCAGCCCTGGCCACCCCCTCCCTGACGGAACAGAGCCCTAAAGCCAGAGACGGTTTGGAAGGGAGTTTTGATTCTTGAAAGCTCATACCCCCCCCCCCCGCCAAATCATGCTGGGGTCTCTACGGCGCTCCTGCACTCAGATGTAGCTCCTCCTCGGCTGGTTTTTGTGCACAGCAAAACTGCGCATCGGGTCGCTCTTCCTTGCTCCTGTGTCAAAAAACGACACAAAGAGGTTGAGAGCCTAAGGAAGGGAGGACACGGAACGAATTCCTCCTCGTATTGGTCCCGAACCCACCCGCTAGCCCATTTTGCGGTATGACCGCTAAGTTCTAGGGAACAGAGCGTCCCTTCGGGCTGCCAGAGGCTTTGCAAACTTTCCCCCATGCCCTTCCCACACCTCCACCAAGATCCTGATGGGTGGCTGGCTGCCCTCTTCTCTTTTGCCACTTGGCCCCATCTTTGGGCAAAGCAGGCTGAGCCAAGGAGGGCAAGACTGGGCAGCTGCCTTCCTCAAGAGAGGTCTTGAGGACCCGAGACGGGGGCCAGTTGCCACGTCCCAGTGACAGTCTTTGTCACTGACGCACTGCTGGCTAAACCCTCCAGTGACCCGAGAGATGTTTAAAAGGAGGACTCTCTGGGACAGAGAAAAACAAACGTCTCCTTCAGGACCTGCGTGGCACTGGCACAGAACGGACTCGGCCCACAAAGCAAACTATTTTTTTAAAAAAATGATAATTTGCAGTGTGACGTCCACCCTGCTTTCGTTCTCAGAGCTGGTGTGTCTGGGCTGAAATCGCTGGAAGAGAAGACTGTTCCTTGGAGACCTCTTTTCACCCCAGCAACAGAAACATCTAAATCTCATTATTTATCGATCTGCTGTGGCACAGAGGCAGTGCAGCGAAGTGGTTAGTGTTGGACTAGGGCCTGGGAGAGCTGGGTTCCGACTGGCCAGGGGTCACCTGGGCCAGTCACTCTCTGCAGCAGACCGTTTATGCATTTACTCTGTTTATATCCCCCCCCCACACCAAAAGCAGCTGAAGTTCTATTCATTCATTTACATTATAGTCTGCCAGTCTCACTTGGACTCAAGGCGGACTCAAGTGAGTCAATACGATCAACAAGACTCAGTGAGCAATGCGATAGGAATCAGGGCTGTAAAACCAGCCAGGGGAACTAACCCTAACAACAGAACCGAGGCAACGCATCAGTATTAATATGACACGTTAAAGGAACGAAAAAATTACACAGGGGGATTCGCGTTTCAGCAAGCGATAGACGCGGCCGGATAGACCACCATCCCCGACGATTGGTCCAAGTAACTCTGTTGTGAAGCATCAAGTACAGCACGACTCCATTGCCTGCGCAGACAAGACCTCCTGAACATCACTCAGTTTTGCATTGTGTGCAGAAAGCTGGGAGAGGGGGTGCCTTCTTGGCCTCCTCAGGCAGGCCACGCCGTAAAGTGGGGGCCACAGTGGAGAAGGCAGTGGCTGATTTTGCCCATTTGTAGGTTGGCATCTGCAGGAGACCCCGCCCCGATGAGCAAAGCCGCACAGGGGGAGAGGCGGTCTCGCACTTGCCCAGATAGTAACAGATACATCATTTCCCTCTCCTCCATTATATCTTCACCACGACCCTGCGAGGTAGGTTAGCTTGAGAGTATGTGACTGGCACAAGGTCACCTAGAGCGCTTCCACTGCAGAGCAAGGATTCGAACCTGGCTCTTTGAGACCCTAGTCCGACACTCTAACCCAGAGGTGTTGAATGCATTTGTTACAAGGACCGGATCTGACATAAATGTCACTTTGTCGGGTCTGGCCATGCGTGTGATAAAAGGTAATGCCAGGCACCAGAGATATTTATTATTAGATATAAACGTTATAAAGGACACAGGCAAACCCAGTTAACGATATTACACGTACAACACCTTTGCTGGCATAGTAAATTAACAATATTATTTTCCAAGCAAAATACAAACAAAAGCAATTCCTAGCAGTGAAAGGAATTGATTTACTGGGGAACCCACAAAAGCCCCCAATAAATGTGTTTACTCATATACAAGACTAGGCTTTCCCCAAGGGATACCATAAAAGGGGGAGTGTCTTATATTTCCATACATACGAGTTGCCTGCGGGCCGAGTAAAAGTCCTGAACGGGCTGGTTCTGGGCCTCATGTTCAACACCCCTGCTCTAACCACTACGCCACTGCGGTTCTCCATCATCTTGCAAGGTTGTTGTGAAGGTAAAACGAAGAAGGGGAAAACAACGCTGTCATGCTGCTTTGGGTGTCCCCTCCACCCCCGGGGAGAAAATCGGGGTATATATAGATCTATTATATATAGATCAGGGTATAAATAGATCTACTTGGTGATCTCCTGGCGTCCGCACTGTCAAAACTTTTCCAACAAAGCTAAAAGCCACTTGCACAGAATGTCTGTGACACCCCGCCCCCCAAAGCAAACAGCCTGCAGGCAAAAGCCAGGAACCTCCAGAGATTTGGGGGACTGGGTGAGGGCAGGTCTTTGCAAGCAACAACATTCTTGAAGTCCCCTGGGGCAGAAAGGTCAGCCCAAGTGCTGGGAAGCTCACTGGCGAGAGAGACAGGCACGGCACAAACCAATACAAAATAAAAGGAAGGCGGCTTGGTGGGGGTGGGGAAGTCACCTGAGCCTGATGGAGCAGCACTCTGGGCGTGTGGGAAGG